GCAAGGCCCCCTGAGCTGGAGGTGGCAGCCGCCGTGCTGCGGAGGAAAATGGATTCGGGCGGGGCCCGCCGTTTCTGTGCTCCCGGAGAATGGATTTTCCAAATTGAACTGGTCCAAAGGCACATTAATACTGATGATTGTCGCACGTCTTCATACAGTTTTTAAAGGAGGTTGAAAGTAGAAGTCTTTTTGTTTTTTAAGGATGTCATGGTTTTTGGACAGCCGTAACTGCTAGCTATGAAATAGCTTTGTAGACAGACGCAGATGGTATGCATTGTCTAAGAGTGGATTTTTTAAATAAACAGGTCAGGCTATGTGGCTCTGGCTGGACCCATCTTCCTGCCTCATCCTTTTGAATACCGGGATTATGAGCTTGCACCAGTGTGTCCAAAAACTTGTTCGATTGTTAGCAATTGATAATTCAGGCCGTGTGTGTGTGTGTGTGTGTGTGTGTGTGTGATCCGAAATAGAGATGATACAGATGTTACTGCACCCCTCAGGTTGTAGGAATGTTGTTAAAGACAACTTAGTTGCTATGGTAATGTAAATAACAGTGGACTATTTATCTTTGCTTTATTATTTATTTTTACTCTGAATGAGTATTGATCTCAGTACACCTCTTTTGTGTTGGGGGGGTATTAAAAACATCTGTTAGAATGAGAACTAGAGATATTAAAATAAGACTAGTGTTCTTGTTTTTTGTTTTTGTTTTCATTCGTCAGTTGTGGGTCTTGAACTCTGGGCCTGAGCATTGTCCCCAAGCTCTTCAGCTCAAGGCAAGTGCTCTACCACTTGAGCCACAGTGCCACTTCTGGTTTTTGGGTGGTTAATTGGAGATAAGAGTCTCATGGACTTTCCTACCCAGGCTGGCTTTGAACCCTGAACCTCAGATCTCAGCCTCCTGAGTAGCTAGGATTACAGGTGTCAGCTACTGGTGTCCGGCAAGACTGGTGTTCTTTACAGAGAAATAACACCAGAGGCTGGGAATCTTGGCACAGGCTTGTTAAATCCCAGCACTGGAGTAGCCAAGGCAGTAGGATGGAGCCAAACAGGGCTACATAGCAAGACACTGTTTCAAAAGAGGGCTGGAGGGGAAACACCAGAAGGCTAGTTTAAAGGAGGGAAAACTAAGGAAGTGAAAGGAAATTATGTGGAGGTGGTGGAGGCTGTGGGGTATGTGTGTTTTAATACCAGTACAGATGCTCGAACACAGCACAATGGGTGTATGTGTGTGTGTGTGTGTCTGTGTGTGTGTGTGTTTGGTCAGCTGTGGGGCTGGACACTGTGCTTGAGCTCCTTAACTCAAGGCAAGCGTTCTACTACTTGAGCCACAAAGCCACATCCAGTTTTCTGGTGGTTAATCGGAGATAAGAATCTTATGGACTTTCTTTCCCCCAGCTGGCTTTGAACCGAGATCCTTAGATCTCAGACTCCTGAGTAGCTTGGATTACAGGCCACTAGTGCCTGGCTTTTTTTTTTTTTTTTAATGCCAGTCCTGGGCTTTAATTTAGGGCTTGGGAGCCATCCCTTAGCTTTTTCACTCAAGCTGGTGCTCTGCTACTTGGGCTATAGCTCTACTTTCAGTTATTTGGTGGTTAGTTGAAGATAGAATCTCATAGACTTAACTCCCTGGGCTGACTTAGAATCTGATCCTCAGACCTCAGCTTCCTGAGCAGTTAAGTAGCTAAGATTATGCCTGCCTTTTTCTTTTCTTTCCCCCTTCCCCCTTCTCCCCCATGACATTCTCACTTGGCTTTTTCTTTCAAGGCTGGATGCCTGCCACTTTAGGTACACTTCCACTTCTGGTGTTTCATTTTCCTTTTCTTAACCTAAGTATGAAGAAACATGCTTGTGATAAAATGTATACATTCTAGGATAAGTACTTTTCCTCTAAGTCTGTGTTTCTAACTTAGAGGCATAGTATATCACCTCTTCTCTGTTAGTGCTCCTGGACTAGAAATACCAAAACCAAATAATAACTTAGTCTGGAATTGAAATGATGGTGAAGAGCTTTTGTGGATCAATAATCATTTCACTCAGTTATTTGAAGAACCACTTTAATAAAGCACTTGGCAATATTAAAGATGACAGCTTTTAAAAGTCAACCCGTAGTTGATTTTTTCAATATTAGATACCCACTTTTCTTAATATTATGTAAGTATACCAAGACCATCTCTTAAATTAAGAAACTTCATAAGAATCCAAATTTGGTTTTCTGGAATTATAATGTAGCAGATTCATCAAAAACTAGATCAGTATTCTGAGCTAGTTGGTGGCAACAAATCATTTGTAACTTCACTTGTATTAAATTGTACCTGTACTGTTATTTTCCAGGAACTTGCTTCACAGCAAGTAAACAGAAGTTTCTGGCTTGATTTGGCTGTGCTTGTTTTATCTTGAAGTGATCCTAAAGCATGTCTGGATTTCTAGAAGGTTGGCGGTGCTCAGAATGCATTGACTGGGGGGAAAAGCGGAACACTATTGCTTCCATTGCTGCGGGGGTTCTGGTAAGTA